ACCTATAAAACAAAGTCATAAACTCGCTGATGTTCCGCCAAGCGATTTCAAGGCATCCCAAAGACTGGAGATAAATTGGTGAGAGAAAAAGAAGCGGCGGAGAGTTCCGGGGAGGGAGAAGGGATGTAGAACCCAAAGTCATTTAATTCTATAAATATGCAGCATGAATTGTGTCTGCAGATGAATTAAGTCAATGAGTTTTGGGAATAATAGTTTACGCTCATTGTTGGCAGACAGGCTGACTGGCAGTCTGGCTGACTGCCTCATTGGGTGGATGCATGCAAATCACGCACATTCCTATATAACTACTCAAATTTGGGCTGTGGGGGTTGGGTGGAAAAATTGTAAGAGGTCATTGCACTACTATTTGTTGGAATTTTCTGGGTACATAAATATTTTTGTTGTTTTTCTTTTTTTTACGGAATATGAATATCATTTATTTCAATTAGAATGCACCGCAAGCAATGACAATACATTTTGGTAGTTGAGGCCAAAAGGGAAGTTCAAATGAAATGAAGAGATTTTTTTTATGATACAACTAATAATGTTAGTAATTAACATTAATCAAATATTCCCGAGCATAAAATATTTTAATTAATCTTTTTATGTGAGATATTTAGATTATTTAAGGTGCATCATAAAATGAAGTCTAAACTAGAACAAATGTCTGCAATAATCAATGTTTTTATAGTCAGAGCCATTGTTTTGTTTTTTTGTTTACTATATTAACGTTTTTCAAAGAGAGATTTTCAAAATAATTTTTTAAATGTCCACTATTTTTCACTGATATGTCTTCAAACTTGTTGCATAACCAAACCAGGCACTAAGAGAACCTTGAGGCTTTTCTTTTAAAAATAAAAATTCTTTTTCACAGAGGGACCTTCAAAAATTGCCCTTAAAGACCTCCATTCTAGAGTTAATTGTATTTAAAAAAGCTGATAAAACATTTGCACTTAAAAGCATATAAAACTTTTTTTTTTATTGTTACATATGTAAATTTAGTAAAAAACGAGCTCGAGGACTTTGTTGTGGTTTAATTATTTATTATTTTCGATATTTCGTCCTCCAACGGAAGACATCATCAGGAACAATACTGTTTAAACATATAACAAAATTTTACAAAATATCGCCAAGCTTCGACGCCGACCTTGTTGTTGTTGCCATCTGTTTTCTCACAACAACACAAGGTCGGCGTCGAAGCTTGGCGATATTTTGTAAAATTTTGTTATATGTTTAAACAGTATTGTTCCTGATGATGTCTTCCGTTGGAGGACGAAATATCGAAAATAATAAATAATTAAACAATAAAGGTCGAATTAAATATCTAAAAATCAAATAATTAAAACCTTTTACTTCAAAATTAATGTTTTTTACTTGAGAGATCTTAAAAATGGGTTTTAACAAATTACGTTTTCTGAGCTAATGACCTTAAATACTTTCTTCAAGAATTCCACGTTTTCTGCCCAGAGAGACCTTTAATATTTTTTTATAAAAGTTTTTCTTCCGAAGAAGCCTTTAAAATTCCAAAAAGGAAAAAAGTGTCCCTTCAGGGAGGCCTTCCAAAGTCTAAAAAACGTTCTTTATACAGGGAGGCTTTTAAAACTTTGTTTTTGAAAATTTTTTCAGTTCTGGGAAAAATTAATTAATTTTTCTTCAAACAACCCACGTTTTCTCCTCTAGAAAACCTTCAAAACATTATATAAAAAATAGTCATGTTTTTGCCCTGGGAGATCCTCAAAAATATTCTTTATTTCTTTACAAATTTTCCTTAAAGATCTACATTTTTTTGTGCTGGAAGGTCTTTAAAAATGTTCCTCAAAACTATACTCCTTCAGTACTGGCAGGCCTTTACATTTTTTAAATCCATGTTTCCTGTCCTGGGAGAACTTTTACATTTTTCCTTAATAATCAAAATTTTCTCCAAGTTTTAGCTCAGAAATGCCATTAAAAATTTTTCTTTGGAAATTGTCTTTTAAAGTTTTCTAAAAAAAATCCAATTTTTTCCCTTGTTTTTACATTTTCTTCAAAAATCCACATTTTTGCCCTAGGTGGTATTCAAACGCGAGACTTTTAGAATTGTATTAAAGGCACGCATTTTTTCTCAGAGAGGCCTTAAAAATCGTTTACTTCAAAATCTTTTCAAAAATTTTTCTGCCTTGGAAGTCATTTAAGGTTTTTCTTCACAAAAAATGCATGTTTTCTCCGCTGGAATACTCAAAAAATCATGTCTTGCCTTGGGAGATCCTCTAAACTTTCTACATTCTACATTTTTTGTGCAAATATTGACTATTCAGCACAGGCAGTCCCGCAATTTTTGTTAATTCAGGTTTTCTGACCTGGAAGACTTTTTATTTTTCTCCTTCAAAGCCTTAATTTTAGTCATTGGAAAGCCTTCACTAGTTTTTCTTTAAAATTCCTATTTTTTTGCTCTGAAATACCTGTACAGTACTTCTTTAATAAACACTTTCTTGCCTTGTTATACCCTCCACCATACTATGGAGGGTATATTAACTTTGTTATTCCGTTTGTAACTCCTCGAAATACTCATGTCAGACCCAACAAAGTATATATATTCTTGATCAGCGTAAAATTCTAAGTCGATTTAGCGATTTAGCGATGTCCGTCTGTCTGTCTGTTGTACTGAAAATTGTCTGTGCAGGTCCACGTCTTCGTATAGCCCCCATATAACGGCACCTCGCTATGTTCGGTATTTTGATAATTTTAGCGACATTATTAACCGGAATTGTTTAAAATTTGGTATTTGAAGTTCGTTATGGGAACTACGGTCTGTGACAGAAAATTGTCGGTGCGGGTCCAGTTTCGAATTTGAATATGGTAATGGCTTATGACAAACAATGCCTATGTATGTCCACGTCGTATAGACCCCAATATAACGGCTATATTCGGTATTTTTAAAATGTTAACAGAATTTTTTAAGGATTTTATTTTTTGAAAATTTCCAAATTCGTTGCAAATGGTGGAGGGTATTAAAAGTTCGGTCCGGCCGAACTTACTGCTTTTTAACTTGTTTTTTTTTTTTTAATTTTCTTTACAAATTCCAATTTTTTTGAACGCGCCTTCAACATTTTTATAAAATAATCAAAATTTTTTGCCCTGGAAGGCCTTTAAATTTTGACTTCAAAATCCGCGTTGTCTACCCTTTAAGGTTTTTCTTCGAAAAAATCCATGTCTTCAGCACTTGGAGACTTTAGAGTCAATACAGGGGTGTCCGTCATTCCGTCTTTGTCCTAAGTTGGTACACCGATTTTGTCCTAACTTGGTACACGTACTATTATAATCAAACTTATATCGAGTTCGGAGATGGACAATATCGGCACACTGCCCCACAAAACCTCAAAAAATTTATCAGTGCTACGTCAGGTGCCACAGTGGACAATTCTGGCCCACTCCAGCTAGGGTAAATAGTTTGATAGCCTCCATATAACGGTATCTCCAAAATTCGGTATTTTCATTTCATTTATTTACCGGAACTATTTTAAATTTCGTATTTGGAGTTCGTAATGGGTACTACAGCCTATGACAAAAATTTTTGTATACAGGTCCACGTAATGGTACCTCCCTGTAGTCGATATTTTGACGATTTCAGCAAGATTATTTACCGGAATCGTTTTAAATTTCGTATTGGAAGATCTTAATGGGTACTACTACTTATGGCAAAAAAATTCGTATGCCGGTCCACGTCTTCGTATAGCCCCAATAAAACGGTACCTCCCGATAGACGGTATTTTGATGATTTCAACCACATAATTCACCGGAATTATAACAAATTTTGTATTTAAAGTTCACAATGGGTACTACAGCCTGTGACAAAAAATTTCGTATGCAGGATCACGTCTTCGTATACATCTAGATATTCGAAAAATACCAGTTTTTTTGCTTTAAGGTTTCTTAAGGATGTATTTTATTCACGTTTTTGGATTTAAGGTTCGTTTAAAAATTGATTTTAAAATTCAAATTTTTGTTTTGAAAGCCCTTTAAAACTGTTTGCTTTGAAAGAGTTTGTAAAGCGTTGATGAAGCTTTTAAATTCACGTATTTTAGTTTCATTCAGAAATATATTTCAAAAATTAACATTTGGAGTTTTAGAGCCCTATAAAAGTTCGGTTAAAAATTGTGCGTTTTTAAGATGTTTGAGGTTCCTTATTTTTTTTTCAAAAATCCACGTTTTTGGTTTTGAGGGTTCTTAAAAATTTATTTAAAAATTCCACTTTTTTGCTCAGATAGCCCTCCTACAACTTTGTTTCAGAATCCTTGATTTGAGCCTTAATAAATAGCTAACAGTCCTTCCAAAAGTTGGTAAAAATTTTTGTTTTGGGCTTCAATTCGAAGGTCGAATTTAAAACATTGAATACCCATTTACTTCAATGTTTTTTAAATCGAACTTTGAATTTTGATGATTGTGTTCAAAAATTAACAGTTCTCCAAAAAGTGTTGAAAAAAAACAATTTTAGTTTTGAAAGTCCTTTGAAAATTTCCTTTAAAAATTGGTTCTTCAAAATTGTTTGTATTGAAGACAGAGCTTTAAGTTTTGATAGTCATTCGAAAAATATATAAAATATCAAAATTGTGGCTTATTCCTATAATTAATGAACCAAATTTTGGACTTCTAGAGTCCTTTAAAATTTCTTTAAAAAGTACTTTTTAATGTTACAAGGACAAACCTGCTTAAAAATTTCGATTTTGGGACCAGAGTCACTTGATATTCCCATCCCTGTTAAGATATTTGTCTCACACGTTTCTCTTAGGTAGAGCTAATCCTAATACGACATACTTTTAGTTTCAGATGGTTTCTCAATCGACTGGTCAGGTCAAAGAGTTGCATTTAAAATGAATAACTCTTCGAACTTACCTTAAGAGAATTTAGCTATTATCAATTTAAATATCAAACAATTCAAAAAACCACTCATGAACTGGAAATCTTATCAGTCCCACTATTCGTGCGTCCATAAAGTTATGGTCGACAGCCATTTGATAAAAAAACGAAATAAATTTAGTTTCATTTCAAAATTCGACATGAAAGCATTGTGGTTCGTTTTCATATTTTTCAATATTTTATTTTCACAATGTATTGCTCAAATAAAAACCGCCGAAGAAAACAATGAAGAAGATCCCGATCCCGGTGTCCCAGTGGTGCAAACATCGCTGGGGAAAATTCGAGGCAAAATGTTGACAACCCTGTATGGCAAATTGTTTTATGCCTACCGGGGTATACGCTACGCCAAGGCACCGGTGGATGATTTAAGATTTAAAGCCCCCATCCCTGTTGAACCTTGGAATGATACCCTGAAAGCCACCTCTGACAGTTTGGTGTGTCCCCAGCCCGGAGTTTTGCAAGTGGTTATGAGTGAAGATTGTCTAAAATTGAATGTTTTCACTAAAAATGTAACGGCCCGCTTGCCGGTGATGGTCTACATTCATGGTGGGGCCAATGTCTTGGGTAGTGGCCACAGTTTGTACGAGGCTGGACCCCAATATCTGCTTGATCATGATGTGGTCATGGTGGCATTTAATTATCGTTTGGGAGCCCTGGGTTTCCTTAGTACCCAAACAGCGGAATATCCTGGAAATTATGGTTATCTGGACCAAGTACTGGCCCTGCAATGGGTGAGTGATCATATTTCGCATTTTGGTGGTGATCCTGAGTCGGTGACCATTTTTGGTATGAGTGCTGGTTCCATGGCAGTTTCATTGCATCTGGCGTCGCCACTATCGAAAGGGCTCTTCCACAAAGCCATACTCATGAGTGGCTCGGCAACCAATCATTATGACATCGATAACATCTATTGGACCAGGAAATTGGCCAAGGAACTGTCGTGTCCACAATACCATCCCAGCGATATAGTGGAATGTCTGAGGGAAATTAGCTGGAAGACAATTGTAAATAAATGTGCCGAATGGGAACCCTATTCCTTTGTCAATATGAAATGGAACTATGAAGTTGATGGGAAGTTCTTGCCCGAACATCCCAGCAAACTGTTTGCTGAGGGTAAATTCAATAAGGTGCCAATGATTGTAGGCTTTGCAGGCAATGAATTGGATTTTTCGGTGCAGCGTGAGTTTGATTAAATTAATACATTTTAAGAGCCATATAATCACTTCTTCCATCCAATAGATCAGGAGAACAACACCCGTTTGCTGCATGACTTGGCTGTAAGTTTTGATATGTATGCCCCGGAAATATTTCTCTATAAGCCAGAATCGTCGAATTTAACTCCAGATCAATTGAAAAGTAAACGCATTTGGAATTTTTATATGGGTTCGGAAACTAAGGAGCTAAATGTATCAAACTTGCATACGTTTGGAGAAATATTCTCTGATGCCATCTTGGGCCATGGCATTCATCGTTTGGTCAGCCTTGCCAATAAAGATACTCCGGTGTATTATTATAGGACCGACTATGTGGGCCATCGAAGTTTATATCCCGATAATTATGGACAATCACAGGGTGAGTATGAAATGCGGTAGAGGTACTTGTAAGTGGACTTCTGTCATAAGAACTTTAAGAATATACATACAGGGTATGATGAAAAAAACTGCAACCAACTTCGGACTGCTGTCATTTCTAAGACACTCATCCGACAGCTGTTGAAATTATTCCAGTGATAGCTCATTATATTGTTTACAAGCGTACAAAAGCATTTTGGTGAGAATTTTCCAGAACAAAAGTTATTCTTGATGGAATTCAAGCGTGACGGTATGATTTCTTTATATTTGGCTGGAAAACCACAGGTGGCTATCGTTAGAGCACTCCAGCATTTAGATGTAAATAAATCTTTTATGTCTCGTACCATCGCTCGTTACCGTGATACTGGTAGCGTAGCCCGACGTCAAGGAAATGAACGGAAGAAAACAGCAACATCAGCTGAAATGGTTTAAAAAGTAAAGAAGCGACTTGATCTAAACCCGCATCGCAGTGGCTCGTGAGCTGAACATATCGCAATATTCCATTCGGCAAATATTGAAAAATGAGCTCGGGGTAAAGCCAATGAAATTCCAAAAAGTGGAAGAACTTACACCGCAACAGAAAGAAAATAGACACAAAGGGCTAAAGAGTTTCTTCCTTAGGCCGAAAGTGCAAAAATGTCAAATTTGGTTTTCTCCGATGAGAAAACATTCGATGTCCAGCAGTTTCTAAACAAACAAAATGAGCGTTTTTCCTTGCCAAAGAGGTCAGCTGAAAATGTGCACCTTTGGTTGGCCACCAGAACTCAAGCGCCGGCCATGGTGATGGTGTAGGCCGCCACAACAGCCGATTGATTGAATAAATGCCGAATATTATCGCGAAAATATTCTGAAGGGTGTATTAAAGCCTTGGCCGCAGACCTTGGACATTCCAACAGGACTCAGCACCATTGCACTCAGCACGCTTCACCCAAAAATGGTTCCTCGTTTTATTTCCACCGCACAATGGTCTCCAAAATCTCCGAATACCAATCCGTTGGACTATTATGTCTAGAGTATTTTTTGTATTCTGCTAAAATCTTAAAAATACCGAATATAGCCGTTATATAGCCGGTCTATACGGCGTGGACCTACATAGACATTGTTTGTCACAAGTCATTACCATGTTCAAATTCGAAACTTAAAATAAACGGTGAATAATGTAGCTGAAATCTTCAAAATAGGGAGGTAACGTAACATCGGAGCTGTGCGAAGACCTGGATCAGCATAGACAATTTTCTGTCATAGGCTGTAGCATCCATTACGAACTTCAAATACGATATCTCAAACCATTTCGGTGGGTATTGTACCTAAACTCGTCAAAATACCGAATATAGGGAGGTACTGGTATATGGGGCCTATACGAAGACCTGGACCAGCATATACAATTTTCTGTCACAGACTGTAGGTCCCATTACGAACTCTAAATACGTAATTTGAAACAATTCCGGTGAATAATGACGCTAAAATCATCAAAATGCCGAATGTTAGGAGGTGCCGCTATATGGGGGCTAGACGAAGACTTGGAAAAACACAGTCAATTTTCTGTCATGGGTTGTACAGGGTTGCCCATATTCGACGGACCCATCTGGCAACGCCATAACTTTTGACAGAGATGTCACATCGCTTAATGACATACCGCGTTTGAAGCGTCAGTCCAAGCAGATTTTTACCATGAACCAATACACGGCACGCGAGCGCTCTGAAATAGTTGAAATTTACATTCAAGTCAATTGTGAAAACTTAACGTGCTTTTAAAACATTAAAAAATGCGGACAGGCCTCGTCGATTGGAATGGGCCCAAAGGTCCGTCGAATATGGGCAACCCTGTAATATCCATCACGAACTTCAAATGCCAAACTTTAAACAAGTCCGATTAATAATGCCGCTAAAATCATCAAAATACCGAATACCTTATGAAAACGTGGACCTACATGGCCCATTTACGAATTTAATCTGACTGCTGGAAAAATAAACATGTGTGCAAAATTTTAGCCTCCTATCTCAATTCGTTCGAAAAATAGCATGATTACAACAGACGGGCAGACAGACGGACATCGCTATATGACATGAGTATTCCGATGAGTTGCAAACAGAATGACAAAGTTAATATACCCTCCATAGTATGGAGGAGGGTATTTGACTTTGTTGCAGTTTTTTTTTATCTCACCCTGTATATCTCCACGACAAGGTTTATTTTGGACGATATTCTTCTTCTGACATACTGTATATAAGTCTTGGTTCGATATGACTTTCCAAATGAAACTTCTCTGCTTTCAGGTGTTGGTCATGCCGATGATTTACAATATGTAATGCCTGGCCTATGGTATGGCACACAAATGTCCGAGGATAATCCCGATATATTTATGGTTAAACGCATGACCCAGCTATGGACCACATTTGCCACAACTGGGTGGGTAAACCTAACACATTCCATCACTAGAAATTTAACTGCTCTTATTCTAATTCCAATTTTCTTTTTTCCCAGAAAACCCACAGCCGATGATGTTAAAGAATGGTCACCAGTTGGCGATAGTAATTTGGCAATACTTTACAATGGCAAATCCGCCGAGATGGGCCAATGGCCATATACGGAACGTTATCAACTATGGGACGAAATGTTTCCAATTGAAAAGAGTGGCGTTGGGTGCCACTTGCCCATTATGGGGATAATTACAATATTAGTGTTAAGCATTTGGAAATTAAGTTAATGTTTTTTGAGTTCACTATTTATTTTGGGTAAGATAAGAAGGTGGTGTTGCTGTTTCCACTGCGCCAGGAGACATTAATTGCCATTAAGATTAAATAAAATGTTCTGCCGTTGGTTTTTTCTTTTTTGCGCTGCTTCAATTAATCAAGTGAGTTTTTGTTCTTCTTTGATTTTGTTTCCCCGCGCAAAGTAAGCAAATATGTAACACATTTATAATTGTAAGTCCTGAAATCTTAATCTGTGTTTGCGTTAATTTTCACCCTTTTGGGAAGTGAAGGGCATACTTAGTTTTAAGTTTCATTTGTAGCATTGTTTTGTATAAGAAGTGAATTTTGTTAGATTCAAAAACGTCTCTTTATTGATGTATACAGTGGTGGAAAAATGTAGAACCTTTAGATTCCCAGAGATGTAAAAAAACAATAGAAATAATGGGAAAAATTTATAGGTTATAGGGAAAAATTCTCAAAGCCTTGAGGAATATCTAATATGTATTAAAACCCAGGAGAAGGCAGTATACCTATTTAAAAAATTTAGAAAACTTATTACATAGAAAGCCAACAGAGGGTTTCCTACCTTCAGGAGGCTAATATAAGTTCATCTATAGAAAACCAGTACGGAAAAGTCAAAAGTCGGGCGGGGCAGGCTATACTATATGACAGTAACAAAATAATTTATTTCAAGTAGATCATACCACCTATCAACATTTGGCCTTAGAGCAGTTATAGTTTGCTATAGAGTACATGATGTCATTTCGAGAAGCATTATATTAGAAAATATATATCGGAGCTGAGTTGCACACAGTGGAAACGTACGTCCCGAAATTCACTCCATTTGGGCTTATATTAGTCATTATTTGCACAATAAACCTGAAATCGGATTAAGGATATATATGGGAGCTATACCCAAATATTAGCCGTTCTCGATAAAATTTGGCAAAGGTATATCCGAGCTCTATAAGATATCTCGTTACAAATATCATTGTTGTCGAATGTATATTACGAATAAACTTAAACACCAAATCGGATGAGATATATAAATAGATAAATTTGATGTACTTGCTTCTAGATATTATTTCAGAGCTGTACCCGATATCTGGTACCAAAAATCATTGTTGTGGAATGCATATTACGCCTGTGAGCGACTTTAAACGCCCAATCGGATCTAAACCGATTTTCACAAAATTGGATGTACTTTCTTCTAGACTAAATTCCGACGGAATTTTTAAAATTCAGTCCATTTGGGCTGACATAACGCCATAAATTTCACATTTTTTAAAAATTTGATTGAATGAAAGCAAAATATGTCGGAAATAGCATCAAATTTTAGAGTAAGTTTAGATTTGTTCGAATTGGTCTGCTTTGACACGAATTATGGCCTTCAAACGGCCAATGAAACCGTCACACGCTGGCGGAATGTTGCTCTGTGATATTTTGGTTCATTCCCGGCGAACCGCTTGCTTGAGGTAATCGACACTTTGGTATTTTTTAGTACCAAAATTGCTTTCCAAAATACTCCAGACACAACAGTCCAACGGATTGGTATACGAAGATTTTGCTGGTCATTTTGTAACCATTCTTGGATGGCGCTTGCTGAGTGCGATGGTGATGAGTCCTGTTGGAATGTCCAAGGACTGCGGCCAAAATGTTTGCGTGCTCAAGGCTTTGATAAACGCTCCAGAATATTTTCGCAATAATATTCTAATAATATTTAATATTTATTCTGATGCCACGGTCGATTAATAGGAGTGGGGAGCGACCATCGTCTGTTATGGCGGCCTACACCATAACCATGGCCGGCACTTAAGTTCTGGTGGCCAACCGAAGGTGCACATTTTCAGCTGACCTCTTTGGCGATTAAACACGATCATTTTGTTTGTTTACAAACTGCTGGTAACGAATGTTTTCTCACCGGAGAGAGAGAAAACGAAATTCGGCAGTTCACCACTTTCGGCCGTGCGAAGCAACTTTTAGCTCTTTTGAGTCAATTTTCTTTCCGTTGAAGGTGTAAGTTCTTGCACTTTTTGGAATTTCAATGGGTTTACCCCGAGCTCATTTTGCAATATTTGCCGAATGGAATATTGCGATATGTTCAGCTCATGAGCCATTTTTCGGCCACTGCGACGTGTGTCTCGATCAAGTCGCTTCTTTACTTTTCGAACAATTTCTGCTAATGTCCACTTCCTTGACGACGGGCTACGCTACCAGTATCACGGTAACGAGCGATTTAAATGCTGGAGTGCTCTAACGATAGCCACTTGTGGTTTTCCAGCCAAATATAAAGAAATCACACTATCACGATTGAATTCCATTCCGAATAACTTTTTTTCTGGAAAATTCTCAACAAAATGCTTTTGTTCGTTCGAAAAAAATATAATGAGCTGTCACTGTAATAATTTTAACAGCTGTCGGACAAGGGGCTTAGAAATGACAGCAGTCTGAAGTTGGTTGCAGTTTTTTCATCGCACCCTGTATATATGGTAGCTATAGCTATATCTTAATCGATTTTCACAAAATTTAATGTACTTGCTTCTAAACTAAATTCGATCCGATGTGCCAAAATTCAATTCAATCGCCAATTAACCCGAAGTCGGTTTAAGATTTATATATGGGAGCTATATCTAAATTTAAACCGATTCCCACAAATTGCGATAGGGTTCGTCCTTGGGCCAAACAAATATTACTTGGAAAATTTCATTTCAATCGGATAATAAATCCGATCCGCATTTTGTTCACAAAAATACATGGACAAAAGGACGGACGGAAGGACTGACATGCATAAATCAACTCAGAATGTGATTCTATGCAGATCATCAAAAGTAACTATGGATGTATCTCGCTTCCTTCTCCATGTTATAAGCAAATGTATAAAGACATAAAAATTCTGAAATTAGGGATGTACCGTCATTTCGGGCTTTACGGAGACATGGATCGGCACAGTTAATTTTGTTTTCATAGGAAATATTACCCATTGCGAGCTCTAAATTCAAATTTGAAGTAGTTTCGGTGAAAAGTGGAGCTAAAAACATTAAAATACCCAATACAGGGATGTTCTGGAGCTATACGAAGACATGAACCTATATATGAAGATTTCTGCTAGTGGAATTAAATTCTAGTTAAAAAACGTGAAATCGCTAAAACGCCTTCATTCTGGAGGCAGAGCTATTTGGGGTTTGTATTGAAATGTGGACCTATATGACCCATTTTTAAAATCAAAAATTCTACGGACCTAATGTAATAACAATTTAGGACCCTGATCCTTTCCGATTACTAAATAGTCAATGGTAAAAAATGTGGTACTTTTCGTACCTTTAGAACTTTTTGAACGAACTCTCAACGAATATGTTTTAAACCTTTTGATCCGATCATTTAATTGTACAACCTTTTGGAACTATAAGAATTTTTAGTACTTTTTATTCCAAAATTGCTATAATGTTGCCGTATATCACAGCCACATACCAAGAGCTATGTGTCCTTTAATTTCGATAATCTTCTCTATGCATAACGCAAAGGGTGCTTAAAATTCGGCTTTTCCCGTTGTATTTTTCCTTTTTCTCGTAGTTGTGTTTGTTCTCTGAGTAATTAGTGTTAGGGGCTTAAAGGAAATCTCAGTATCATGAACCAAAAAACCTCTGTGTGATTGTGTGTTTTGTGTGTTTAATTTGTTTCCACTTCTAAGTAGGATATGAATATGTTTGGCATGCGACTCTATGTCCTTGTGACAGATTATGTGTGTGAGAGAGAACGAGAAATTGCGTATGTGTGTGTGAGGTTGATTCATACCTCTTCGTCCCTGTCTCCACGGCTGTATTTACAAAGCTATTTGTTTATGTGTAATTACTTCCTTAATTGCCTTTGTACAATGCCTTTGTCTTCTGCTCCTTAAGTTTGCCGGCTTGTGCCCATGAATGTGGCCTGATTGTGGAACGGGGAAGAGAAGCTGGAATCAATGCTTGTTTACTTTTTTCCTTTCGGATGATGATGAAGTGGTATTGACATTTGAGATTACAACGTATTATGTTCATTGCCTAAACACTTTATAAAAGGATTATTTATCCATTGTGCTCACTCCCCTTTCTTCTCCCTCTCCCCCACAGTCACACACTAACTTGTGACCTCTAATGAAAGATAAAACGGCAAAGGTAATTTACACACAATTTTAGAATGTTTGCGATAGCTGTTCAAAGCTTATAGCCCCCCTCTTCGAGAGCAGTTTTATCCCCTCCCCCCAAATTAAAATGGAAGTTGTTCATTTGTCCTTTGACTTTCTAAGGACCAAACAGGCACACAGGCAATTAATTCAATTTCTGTTGTGTGCAATATGTGAACACCAATTCTATAGCAGACCGAGACAAGAGTTTGTTTGTCTCTCACTTTGTGTGCCTATTTGTATTTGAATGTTTAATTTCAACAAAAACGATGATTATCCTTTGTTTTAGCTCTTCATCTTCTTTTTGTTATTATATTTGTTATCCTCACAGAAAAATGCTACCAACAATGGTTGTTTCCTTATCAGTCAAACTCAAACGCTACCCTCTGTCACTCACCCACTCTCACAAATCGCTCATATGTTTGCTATTCGACTATCACAAGAGCAACACTTTGAACTTCGTTGTTGTTGTTGGCACTCATCAAAGAGAGGGCTTGCCATTGTTCCCAGAGATTTTGGTGTGTTGTGTTAATTTTTGTTAAATAAAAGCCTGAGATAAACTCCAAATGTTCATTAATATTCGTTGGAATTTTGTTGTCGTTTTCGTTGTTGTTGTTGTTGTTGGTATTCTGTGATTGCAGCTCAGCGATAAATGTCCATAGATAAATTTGTCAGTTGCAGGTTTATCCTTCTCGCCAGTTTTTGATCGGCAACTAATTAATCATATTGAGGGACAGACCGCTTGTTGGGCTGGTCAGTGTGGGATAAAGGAATATTTGTTTTCCTAATTCCTAGAAAACGGCCAGTGATATCTAGTGTGTTAGTTAACCTTATGGACTTATCTTGGATAAGAATTGTGCAGATGAAAGAATTTTATAAGGCGGTTAATTTTTACAAGTCTTCCATTGAGGGAACCCCTTCAAGAAGTCATCTATAGGTTAAAGGCCTTTTACAAATCTTGAGCAAATAGAGTG